CGTCGCATATTTCTGACTTCGACATTTTTCACGAAAATGATTCACATTAAAATAATTGTTTATACCAAAATGGTTGCTAGGGAGGTGTTGCCACAACAACGTACCAACCACGACTGTCACAGACTTGATTTTTGTTGTCGTATTTTGCATAAATTCGTAATAATCCGTAAATTGAAGCTGAGTCTCGCAAAATTGAATAAAATATTGTATAAACTACGTGAGTTAAATGAATGTTTATTCACTTGAAGAATTAGCTCACTCGCGCTACGCGCTCTTGAGCTAAACTTTCTTCTCTTGATTAAACATTCATTTAACTCACTTAGTGTATAAATATCTATGATTTGTTGTCATTTTTTTCTTTAGCTATCAGGATAAAAATTACAAAAACCGAAAGTGTGGTTAGTTGCCTAAGGTCCGTTTTACATTTTTATTTCAGTCGAATGACAAATCGTCCAAAATTCCGTGTCCGTCAGTGTATGTATTTGTTTTGTTTGTTTAGAATATATTTCACGTTAATAATTGTGTAAGTTATGTTTCATTTATTATATTTGTTTAATCAAAATGGTTAAATAAAGAGAAATTCTTATTTTGTTATGCAATCTAATCAAAAAACCAGAATACAGGGTGATTCAGATAAGATAATGAGCCCGACGTTCTGGCGATGCAACCCAAAAAACAAATTTCATTTACGACTTGATCTAATTTTAATTAAGATTAGCATTTGCAATCCAAGTTATTTTTTATGTTGCTCTGACAGTGCTTTGACAAGCCATTTATGATTTATAAAAAGAACTGTTTGCCTACCTTTAATGTTTCATTGTTTCATACATTTTGTATTGCGTTTACGCCGAAAAGACTTCTCTAATTTCTCTATCATTCCGCGACAGCTTGATCGTTTTCTGCACGGATGTCAGAGTAACATAAGATGATAACTTGGATTCAACTTGTAAATCTCAATTTAAATTGGATGAAAGGCGTAAATGAAATTTGTTTTTTGTGTTGCATCGCCAGATCGTCAGGTTCATTATCTTATTTGAATCGCCCTGCAAAAATATATCCTTGTTCTTCGAATCCAATAAATACCCAAAATCTGCCAAAATTTAAATGGATTTGGCAATGTCTAGGGATTTCTAGGGATTTTTCACAACTGAATCTAGGGATTATAAAAAATTTCACCTGGTGGCACTGGGTGACATAACCTACAAAAAGGTGATGCACTAATGTCTAGGAAAAATCATTGAAAATTGTTAAAACCGGCTTAATAAGAGTTAAAAAGTAAGAGCAACAAACTTACTGAACATTATTCCTACCTTACGATGAATGCGCCACCAACCTTCGAATCATTTCTGCTTTATGATGGAGAGAAAAAGTAAGTCGACAAATCTTCTGTTTGCATCACAAAATATTATATACTAAGCAGTTTGTTCAAAACATAATCTATTATATTTTTGTAGGATAATAAGAGAACAAGATACAAAAGTACCAAATGCGGCTATTTTTACTATAAACAAGGAAGATCACACGTTGGGAAACATGATCAGAAAGTGTGTAACAAAACAGTAAATCAAAGTACATAGTTTAATAAATGTATATTTTTTAGCCAATTGTTGAAAGATCCAAATGTATTATTTGCTGGATACAAAGTGCCTCATCCACTTGAGCATAAATTTGTATTGAGAATTCAAACAACATCCGATTATTCACCTCAAGAAGCTTTGATGAATTCTATTACCGATTTGATTTCAGAGTTGTCTTTGTTTGAAGAACGTTTTAAGGAAGCTATTAAGGAAAAGAAAGAAGGTTTAGATTAAGTATTTGATTTTTTTTTTAATAACAATAAAGTGAAGTTTATGCTCCAATAAGTCAGTCTTTGTTATGCTATTCAAAATACCTGTTGTTTTCTGGTGGTGGGGCGGTAAAAGTTTTATTTCTTTTTTCTAATGGTTAACACTTAACAGCAGCCTGTTTGTGATTTTCTACCATTTTTTATTTGCCCAATTTTCGGAGGTCTAACACATCTTTAGGTACTTTTGGGATATTTCATATTTTTTTAATCGTTTTATATTTTTTTAGTTGTTTTTGATGATTTTTGCATGTGGTCAATACCTTGGTTCAGAAATAAAAATCCGTTTTGGAATGTCTAAAAACAAAGAGTTTTCTAAAGTGTTTAGGGTGCTCTTGCAGTAATTTCGCTTCAGGTGTTTTTCAACAATTTTTTGTGTGCGCAGTTCTTGGTGCTGTAGGTATAGATTTTGGGGTGCACAAAAATTGTTTTTTTAAAGAATTTTGGGTCCTTTTTGGCCGGTTACGTAGGAAAAAAGCTGAAAATAACATTAAGGTGCTTGTCTAATAATGCCCACTTTGTTCACTAGAGGGCGCGCAATTAGTCTTTTCTGGGAATAAATTCGTCTTAAAAATCAAAAAAGCTTTAAATTTGTAAAGACCGATATGGAAACATTACTAATAAATATGTAATTAATTTCTGTTTAAAAAATTACTAAGAAACACAAATAATCATAACCTCATTTGACTTGATAATAGTGAGGGATCGCCTCGCCTCTTCTGCTTCAATTTCAGTGTGCGCGAGTTTGTCGTAGAGGAAGGTAGTTTACGAGGTTTCGCTAAAAATGGCGGAAGCCACAGGTGTATCAAGTGTAAATCCGAATGCAGAAGTCGTAAGAGGGCAGGTATTTGAAGTAGGTCCCCGTTATACGAATTTATCATACATAGGAGAAGGCGCATACGGAATGGTTGTGTGAGTAAATTTTCCTTATCATAGTCGTTGTGGTTTTGTAATTTACACGCCCTAAAATTGTAGATATTGTTACCGTCTGAATAACGCGAACATCTTTTTGTTTTAATTGTTTCGTACAATGGTACAAATTCAAAAAAATAAATGTGGATAAAGTTGGCGGTCGCTTGTCAATTGGCTTTTTCATTAGAAGTTGAGGTTATGTATACATAACTTCCTGTCATTACTTTAGAAGAAATCGATGTTTTAGAGGGTAGCCTGAAGGCAAGTGACTTATTTAAAGTTTTTGGGTGATTTTAGGGTTTTTCGAAATTGATTTGTTGGTTCCGAATTGGTAGGTTCATACATGAAATAATTTCGTATTTTTAACTTAACAAAACATTCAAAAACGTCAAATTATTTTATTTTTAGAAGACAAACCGATATCTTTTTTTAAAATTTTTATGTCGTTAGTAAGTTTTTTGTAACTTTTACGTTTTTGTTTTGAATTTTTTGTTCTTTAAAATCCTATGGTCTGCAAGTTTTTCTTTAGTCATGTATTAAGTGTTATTTATCTAGAAGAAATTTAACTCCGCAATCGAACATAAAGCTTTGTACGATTGCGGACACGGAATGTTGGTGATCAAAAATGTCAATGTAAGCCACGGTTTATTGTCACTATGACTGACGTTTGAAACTAAAATTTGTAAGTTTTAGTTGAAATTTATTTTTGATGTCGGTTTTTATAAACAATAATGCCAGCAATACGAGTTTTTATATAAGTTGAATAAATTGTTTTGATTTGTTGTCATTTTTCATCTAGCTGTCAGGATAAAAATTACAAAAATCCAAAGTGAGGACCTGACAGCTAGATGAAAAATGACAACAAATCAAAATAATTTATTGAACTTTTATGATTGTATAAAAACAAGTATTGCTAGTATTATTGTTTCGGAAAATCGACGCCAAAAATAAATTTTAACTAAAACTTTAAAATTTTAGTTTCTAACGTCAATCATGACAATAAAAACCGTGGCTTACATTGACATATTTTAAACTGATATAAATTTGATGTTCAAAATTTCGTGTTCGTCATTGTATTAAAGCACTACATAGAAATTAACGACTTCTCCAGTGATTACAATACATAAAGACATATTTCCTCTGTGTGAAAATATGAGGCTTTGAGAATTAGAGGCCCAACTCACATTATGCAAAATCGAATAAAAGTTAGGAGTAAAATTTTATTTTGTCATTTTACCGTTAATATTTTTTGCTTAAAATATTAAAAAGGCCAGTGTTTTACTGCAAATTTGAACAATAAGCAGTTGGCCTGAGAGTAAAACTAAGTTCATTGTGGATTAGGCCACTCTATACTCTATTATAAGCACAAGGGGTGATGCCATTACCACCGAGGTTTGTATGCTATTTTATTCACAATCACATTATTTTTAGTCAAAAATTTGAATAAAATAAAAAAAAACTTATTCTAAACTTGTTGCAGAATATAGAGCTTGTTCCAAGTCTGGTGGCGAACTGAGGTTGTCAAAAATGATCGAATTTTGACATTAAACAAATGTTTGCTATTAAAAAAAAATTGTCTTTAGGCGTCGTAATAAAATGTATGTATTTCAAAACCACTGTTATTTGTTGAAAAAATATAATAAGTAGGAGGTACTCATACTTAAGATGAATAATGATTAACGCACGAAAATATTTTTTATTCACAATCACTAATGTAATATGCCGATTACACTGACCTTTTAAAGGTTGGGAAACACGTCATTATATCTCATGAGGAGTGATAATATTACTTCTCTTGGGCGGTAATATGCAGGACAGCCAATGTTAAAATTACAAAAATACCCGGAATTTTTTCTTTCAAATTGTCAAGTTACGCATAATATTTTGCAAAATTAGTATTCAATTACTTCTGTAGCAGTTTTTCCATGGACCTAGTATAGTGTTGTGTAGTAAATACTACCTTCATGAGATTTTCTTACTTCTGGGGGAGCGCACTACTTCATTTCAACAATTTTAATATCAGATTCACACATTAATTCAATTTTTTTTTACATTTCTGAAATGTCAAAAATCAAACGCAATTTAGGTGGCCTACCACGTTTGGACCTTAACTTTGTTAGAATTTGATTGATTGTGAATAAAATAGCATACAAACCTCGGTGGTAATGGCATCACCCCTTGTGCTTTATCCGATCTCGAGGCTGGCGCCTCTGGATCGTATACATAAGAACTCGGGGTAATGATATATTTACCACCTTGTTTGTAATGTATTATTAACAATCCTATTTCTAACAATCCTTGTCTTCAAAATCACTAAGGCAAAAATCGCTTGCATCGCTGCTATCGTCGGTTATGATAAGTTCATTAACGATTACATCTAAATGATTTTTTCCGCTTAAATATTGATCTTCATTTGCGATCTTCTTTCTTAGATTTTATTATACTACTCGTACATACAAATAGAAAATCTTTTTTAATTTGGTTTCTTTTGCGTAAATTGACTCTCTACAAACCACCAGGTAAAAAAACTTGTTTATTCGAACTTGTTTTTTATCTTATCGTTAATTTACCAAGCAACCAAATTCGCTTAAAAAATTCATTTTTAACCGGATAAATAACAGTCGAAAATAATTTTTATCGCATGACTAGATGATGAAATGAACAAACTAAAACCGTATTTTTGTAGTTTAGCACTCATAAATTTAAATTTTGCATATAGTAACTTTGTGGATAATTTACTGCTGAGTGTAGAATATAATCTTATCAAAAAGCAAATAAGACCAAAATGTACATAACGACGTCAGAGTGGAAATTGAACATTGAATAAATATTTTGTTTAAATCTTAATAATAAGTAACTACATATTTTTTGATGGATTTCGCAGCTAAATAAGGAAATGTTTTGTACTTTAAACAATTATAAATACATGTTATATGATACGATAAATTTTAATTCTTATATAAAATATGTATTTGCTAAAGTTTCCACATATATTGAGATATGTCTAACATTTTTAGTGAAAGTTTTTTGAAACGCAACAACAAAGAGATATGATTATTGCATTTTGAAATTAGTTTAAACTCAATTTAGTTGGGTATTTTTTATTTATATTTTTTAGTAAATCGATTTATTTTAGTAAACATGATATGTATGGAAATCGACACGTTTAATTGTTTGCTTTTAATATGGTGTAATCGATTGTTAATATTATGACTTAGGGCCAGTTTCATAATCGAAATTAAAGGAGCATTAAATTGAATGTTGTTTAGAATGTGTTGATTACTACGGACTTGTTGACAAAAATTTCACACTCTAAACCAACATTAACTTTAAAGTTTCTTTAATTAGATTATTCAGTTAGTAATTTTTAATTACCTAATTTATTCAATAGAGAGTTTTTGCAAATCGATTAGTTTAACGTTAACCCTAACGACAAAGTCATTTAATTGGCGTGTGTACGTCTTTCAAGGGCAAAAGGCGTATTCCGTCAATTCAAAGACGTTTACGTAAACGTCTTATTTTTGGATTTCTTAGCAACGGTCATTTGTCGTAATACGTTAATAATATATTACATAACGAGCACGGAAAGTGATAAATAACGCACAAGCGGGAAAGTTGTGCACGAGGCGTTAGCCGAGTGCAGACAATACCGCGAGTGCGTTAGACACTTTCCTGCAAGTTTTGTACACTATTTTTCCTACGACCATAAATAATTTTTTTCTTACGAACATATTTTTTTTTTCATAACGATTTATTTTTTATAATGGATACAAAAAAAATACGTTGAATGAAAAAATACAAAACATTCGAGTGTGAATTGTGCGTTAGATTTCAAACACACAGTGCGAAAACAAATCGCACAGGTTTTTGACCTCGTACGATATTGCCAATTTTCCCGCATATGTAATTGAGCGTTATGATCTAGTTTCATATATAGTTGTAGGAAAACTTTTTTACGGTTTGCAAAAACTCTAATATGGAATTAATATCCGTTGGATATTTTGTTATTTATTTGTTTCACATAAAAGTTTTACAAAGGCGATGCTTAAATTTAAATGGCTGAATACTGAGTTATTTTAGTTCTAAAAGTGTGCAACAAGTTTTGAA